ATTATATATATATATATATATATATATATATATATATATATATATATATATATATATATATATATATATATATATATATATATATACTGATGAGTATTTTTAAGAGAATAGTCGTGGAGTTGACGTATCGTAGAACCGCGCTCAATACTATAATAAGTAGAACGGAATTAATTCAGCCTGAATTTATATATATATATATATATATATATATATATATATATATATATATATATATATATATATATATATATATATATATATATGTAGCGGTTTATGAGTTGTTTCAGACGAGTGTATACCAAACCGGGCAAGCAGAAAATTCTACTTGACCGCGGCTGGGATTCGAACCCGCGACCTTCGCATTTCTAGAACGATGCTCTACCTTCTGAGCTACAAGGTCAAGCTGAGAACGACTTGTTAAGTTATGATGTTATTCGCATTTCGGAAGTTAGTCCTTCAATGCGTAAAGCCAGCTATTAGTCTGGCAATGTTGTATGTGAATGTTGTGGTTTCCCACGTTGACGATTCCACTCGTGTTACGTCATGTAGCAATTTATGAGTTGTTTTCAGACGAGTGTATACCAAACCGGGCAAGCAGAAAATTCTACTTGACCGCGGCTGGGATTCGAACCCGAGACCTTCGCATTTCTAGAACGATGCTCTACCTTCTGAGCTACAAGGTCAAGGGTTCGAATCCCAGCCGCGGTCAAGTAAAATTTTCTGCTTGCCCGGTTTGGTATAGGCTACACTCGTCTGAAAACAACTCATAAACCGCTACATAAGGTAACACGAGTGGAATCGTCAACGTGGGAAACCACAACATTCACATATTACGGTGGCCCGTTAGGGACACGCTTGTTCCGTAGAAAATCACATTCGTTCTGTGTACTTGAAGAAGTTTTCCTTAATAACAGAGCGTTTCCGTAGAAAATTCAGACGACTTCCGCAGAAATATAGACGCTTTCCGTACAAATGTAGACTTCTTCCGTACAAATGTACATGCCTTCCATAGAAATGTTATACATGCCTTCCATACAAATGTAGACGCCTTCCGTAGAAATTTTATGCATGCCTTCCATACAAATGTAGACGCCTTTCGTAGAAATTTTATGCATGCCTTCCATACAAATATGTAGACGCCTTCCGTAGAAATCTAAAACTAATGCGCGCGCATAGTCTGGTAACTATGGTAACTTCAGTTGCTATTGATGCAAAATGGCGGCATGTAAACAGTGTACGCACGAATTTGCTCTACCAAATTGCAATTTTTGTCCCAATGGCGGTCATAAAACAAGAAGTAAGATCGTACAAGCAATTGTAGTATATGACAAATGTTTCGTGTGATGTAAATAGACGCTTTGTTGTTTTCAGTCACGGAAATCAAAATTCCACATGGGATACTATAAATTTATACTATGCTTGTGATGTTATTTTTAATATTATTTTTATTTATTTTATTTTACAGATTTTGCCATATTGAACACAATACTGACTATATTACATAAAATTAATTACAAAATAGGCTACATGGCTGGAATTACCACACGGAGATTATTAGTTCGATCTCCAGTAACAGGATTCCAAAACATTTAGGATACAAGTATAAACAATAACAGACATTACTCTGAGTGTATATCCACACACCGGGCAAGCTTGAAAAATATGCCTGGGCACGGTGTGGAAATCGAACCTACGACCTTTGGAATACTAACTCAATGCTCTGTATGTGATATTTATGCGATTTATATGTGCTCTGTATGTGATTTGAGTATGTGATATTTCGTAACCGAATCTAGTTCCTTCGATATCAATGTAATCTAACAATCATGATTTTTTTGTGTTGGTGTAATTGTAGTCGGGTGAATATGATGCTTGCGATGTTACTCTCAGTGTATATCCACACCGGGCAAGCTTGAAAAATATGTAACATCACAAGCATAATTTATTTGAGTATTATATCACATATATTCACCTGATTGATTATTAGATTACATTGATATCGAAGGAACTAGAATCGGTTCCGAAATATCACATACTCGAACCGACTGAGTACTGACCGCGTAGCTCAGTTGGTAGAGCATTGGACTAGTATTCCAAAGGTCGTAGGTTCGATTTCCACCGTGGCCAGGCATATTTTTCAAGCTTGTCTGGTGTGGATATACACTCAGAGTAACATCACAAGCGCCATAGATAAGATTTTATATAGTATCTCATGTGGAGTTTTGATTTCCGTGACTAAAAACAACAAAGCGTCCATTTACATCACACGAAACATTTGTCATATACTACAATTGCTTGTACGATCTTACTTGTTGTTTTATGACCGCCATTGGGACAAAAATTGCAATTTGGAAGAGCAAATTCGTGCGTACACTGTTTACATGCCGCCATTTTGCATAATATAGCAACTGAAGTTACCATAGTTACCGGACTATGCGCGCGCATTAGTTTTAGATTTCTACGGAAGGCGTCTACATTTGTATGGAAGGCATGCATAAAATTTCTACGGAAGGCGTCTACATTTGTATGGAAGGCATGCATAAAATTTCTACGGAAGGCGTCTACATTTGTATGGAAGGCATGCATAAAATTTCTACGGAAGGCGTCTACATTTGTATGGAAGGCATGTATAACATTTCTATGGAAGGCATGTACATTTGTACGGAAGAAGTCTACATTTGTACGGAAAGCGTCTATATTTCTGCGGAAGTCGTCTGAATTTTCTACGGAAACGCAGCACATTTATACAGAAACGCTCTGTTATTAAGGAAAACTACTTCAAGTACACAGAACGAATGTGATTTTCTACGGAACAAGCGTGTCCCTAACGGGCCACCGTAACATATATATATATATATATATATATATATATATATATATATATATATATATATATATATATATATAATTAACAATTATACCATGAGCTCGAGTCGTATATGAGCTGATAGCCCACGTGGTGCGTAGCACCGAGTCGGCTATAAGCCACATACGTAGAGAGCGAATGGTTTAATTGTTTTATAATATAGTCTAATAGACATTAACTTATATATATATATATATATATATATATATATATATATATATATTTATATATATATATATATATATATATATATATATATATATATATATATATATATATATATATATATATATATATATATATAGAGGATATTAGACGGTTGCGAAGAGATATGGATTTTATGTTCGAGTGGCAAAAACAATATCTCACGAGTGAGCGCAGCGAACGAGTGAGATATTGTTTTTGGCACGAGAACATAAATCCATATCTTCTCGCAACCGTTTAATGTTCTGTTTATTATATGGACTTACTCAGAGTGACAAAAATACACACAAAGACGACATGTAAATAAGCACGCGAAAGACCAGTATAAAAGCGATATTTTTTAAAATTATACTGCAAACATAAAACTAGAATAAATTTTACTTATCTCAAGATGTCTTTTAAATGTTTTCGTTTTTTTCCAACGTTAATTTCGTTTCAAATACGAACCATTCACCATTTGTATTTTCAAAACAACAACAGTGAAAATGGCGGGAAATTTTCAAAACTTTGTTTGCCACTAGCAGGGGTGAAATACGGAAAATATGCGCACCTGGCCCCGAATGTAGTGACGTATGAGTTCTACGAGTGTTTTAGTTTCCAGTAAAACACCATTGTCCATATAATAAATATATATATATATATATATATATATATATATATATATATATATATATATATATATATATATATATATATATATATATATATATATGAATATGCACCCCACAATTCTCGGTAAAGCTACGGCAGCTCCTTGGAGCAATGAACGGCCAGGAGATGGATAAATCGTTTATTAATTTAGCGGAGATCGTGATTTTGCTACTCGAGAAATGCAAGAAAAGGTATTCAATATTTCCTGTTGGATTAGTTTGAGTATTGCATTGTGTTTTAACATTGTCAACAGAGATCGAACATTATTACAAACTTAGTGTTTGCGTTAAGTGTTTGTGTTGCCGTCTACCACCAAATTACTGAAGGAGGGGGCTACTACTAGCAAACACATGCCATATAGCATTTATGGCCACCATTTTACAAAATCCACATTTGTTTTGGTGTAAATAGGTAATGGGACAAGTACTGGTGTGAGACATTGTGTAACCTAAATACACAGTAAAAACAAATTGGTTAAAATGACCAAAAAAAATTGGTCGTTTGAATGCGTCTGAGACAACCAGTTTAAATTGGTCGTTTTAACCAAAAAAGTAATTGGTCAAATTGACCAATTATTTAATTGGTCAAATTGACCAATTATTTATTGGTTAAAACAACCGGAAATAATTGGTTGTTTTGACCAATAAATAAATGGTCAATTTGACCAATTAATTATTTGGTTAAAAAGACCAATTTAAACTGGTTGTCTCAGACGCATACAAACGACCAATTTTTTTGGTCATTTTAACCAATTTCAAATGACCAAATTAAAATTGGTTAAACATTTAAATTGGTTAAAATGATCAAAATTGCTTTCCATTTCGCCATTAAACCATTCAAAACGTGCTTGAAAAACAATAATTTATTAACAAATAAATATTAAGATTAAAATACAAAATCAATATACAGTATATGCAATATAATAACTTATAGGGATGAAACGTCACACAAAACCTCTCTGACTGTAAATATTTCTACAATATTTACTCGTCGAAGGCTATCAAGTCATATAGCCAAAACTTGTGAAAATAAATATTTACACGCATGCATGCAGTCAGAGAACCATTTCATATTTCACAGCGGACTCCGTTTGACCGTAAATTCTAGAGCCAAAGGGGCGGGATTACAGTTGGATTTAGAGAAATGTGGCGGATAAACAAGAAAGGCCGTTGTTTTCAAAAAGGAAAGCCCATTTCTGCAAACAGAGATGTAATATTGTAGACGAAATCAAATTTTAGATTTTGTTGATGTAGCGATGAACTATATTTGTAATGTGCAAATCAGGAGAAGCAAATGCGAAGGCCTTTATCGTGATATTTTTCTCCTTCTCTAACAATCCTTTTATTTGAAAGTTGAAGTAAGACGACGAGAAATCAACTTCCGTATCGTCAACTTCGGTTGTAAGACGTGGATGTTTCGAATCCATCGTAAGAGAAACTCATTAGATTTTCTTCTATCATAAAAACGAGCGTTGCTCTCTTTGCAGCATAATAGTCGTAAATAATTAACTTTCACTATGGACATAGTTATCGACAACTTTATTTAGCAAAAACAACAATGGCAACGAAGTGCATGGCACGCATTAAACGGCTTCTATCTATTGCGCGCCAACTGTAATCCCGCCCCTTAGAAATATTGTCATTGTCACAGCCCAACGTGCTTTGCGAACGCATGCTGCTAGATCATGTTGTTTTACTTGGAGAAGATGGGTTGATCTTTGTGATTGATAATTTTGGAGGATGATATGGAAGTTGATTTGTCAAATAAAAGGATTGTTATAAAAGGAGAAAATATAACGACAAAGGACTTCGCATTTGATTCTCCTGGCTTGCACATTACAAGTAGTTCATCGTTATACAGTGGGGGTCAAAAGCAGTGGCGTACTACGCAGACCTTCATTTTGGAGGGGGGGGGGAGCAAACTCATGCAAAGCATGAGACCGTCTTGGGGGGGGGTTCGGGGGCATGCACCCCCAAGAAAATTTTAAAATCTAGATCCCCTGAAATGCGATTTCAAGCATTTTGGGAGTGAAATCTTGGACAATTCTGAAAATTATTTTCCCAGACATTTCTCCTCGGAGTTAAATAAGTTGGAAAAGTCACCTTGAAAAGCCACCTTATATGCCACTGGTCAAAAGTCTGAGTCCAGTCAATATGATCTTGCCTTTTTATATTGATATACAATACATTTTGACACAACACACTACTATATGTGCAACAAATAAGGATATACACTACAGTTGGAATTGATTATACTATATTAGCCAAGTGAATATTATATTGATATTTGTGTGACCTCCTTTTGGTTTTAAAACAGCTTAAAATCTTCCTGGCATACATGTAGACTGAACAAATTTTGATGGTTTTTTTCTTAGTATTTAATATGGTTTTTCTTAGTATTGATGGTTTTCAAGGTTATTCCAGAATTATTGATTAACAACATGCTATTGGTTGGCTGCTTTTAGTTGTGGGATTATGTTTCACTTTTCATAAATTCTCAATAGGATTTAGGTCCGGCTGGAAGTTGAGGCAGAAATCCAGAACAACCAGATCACACTATACCATCTACAGTAGCTCAAGGTTGTGTGGAAGGAGATTTGTCTTGCAACGGATAATGATCCGAACCACCCTTCTCACATGTGTAAAAATTATTTAAGAAGAAAGCACGAGAAAGGCGATTTAGTTGTTACAGAATTTTCTTCCTCAATCTCGGGACGTAAATCCTATTGAGAATTTATGGGACCATTTGAAACAAGAGAAAGTGAAACATGATACCACAACTAAAGACAACCTACTGTATAGCATGTCCTTAATCAATGCTGGAATAACCTTAAGCCAGTAGTACTTTACCCTGGATTCCAGAGCCTTCGACAGTAAATAATAAATTGAAATGTTGCGAAGGCTCTGGTTCAACGGGGCGATTCTTTGATTAAACCGCGCCAATCACAAAACAGAATTAGTGGTTTTAGTACAGATTCTGTACTAGAATTAGTGGTTTTAGTACAGATTCTGTACTAAAACCACTAATTCTGTTTTGTGATTGGCGCGGCTTAATCAAAGAATCGCCCCGTTGAACCAGAGCCTTTTCAATTTATTATTTACTGTCGAAGGCTCTGGAATCCAGGGTAGTAGTACTTAGAACACTTGTTGAACTATGCCAGAAAGAGTTAAAGCTATATTCTAAAATCAAAACGAGGTCACACAAAATAATGTTCACTTGGCTAATATTAATTATAATAAAATCAATCCCAACATTGATGGAAATCCTAATTTGATGCACATACTGTATATTAATTAATGCTCTGTTGTGTGAAAATATATTGTATAAAAATATATCTATCGGTCAAACGGAATCAACTGTATGTATGCAATACCCTTGGACATGCATGCATGCTTGCAATGTTCTATTTCATAAAAGAAATTAAGTGTTCAACTGGCATTAGCAACATGCATGTAAGTCTCTTCTTTCCACTGCAGGGAATAAGAATATGTTCCAAAAATAAAAACACATTCTTACTGTGTCAAGTTACACCTTCAGCACTATACAAATACAATATGCAAACAAAATACAGATATTTAAGATATTTACAGCTTTCAGTTTGGTGACAACCATTCCTTCAGCAACAAACATAATGCAGAAGTCTTGGAGATACATATTTCTTGATCTTCTTTGTAACATCACCATCCTGTTGATTGTAGGTAAAACAGGAAAAGATAAGTGCATGCATATCAAGACTGACTATATGATTGATAATATTACTGACGAAACACACTTAGAGTACATCAACAATCTCCCAATGAAAAACAGTTCCCATAATACCAAGGATGGATTTTTGATTTTTGGTGGAAATAGTGGGGGAAGTGGAAATAAATTTAGGGAAGGTGAAGCACTTAACCCATTGAGTGACAGCACTCTGACAAGTGAAATTGTCTGACATCCAAAGTAGAGCACATTGCCACTTGAAGGGTTAGTAGGGTGCATGGACAGATAGTTTGATTAACCCATTGAGTGGCGGCACTCTCCCCCTGACAAGTGAAATTGTCTGACATCTAATTAGACAGTAAAATAATAAAGTGGGGCACATTGCCACTTGAAGGGTTGATAGGGTGCATGGGAAGATAGTCTGATTAACCCATTGACTGTCAGCACCCTCCTCCTGACAACTGACAAGTAAAATAATACAGTGGGGAGCATCCAGGCTGCTGGGCATATCGCCATTTAAAGGAGTGACCTTAAATTTATGAGGCATTAACCATATATATTTGGATAATACCATGAATCTGGCTGGATATTTTCAACTATCCAACATACTATATCGTGTACATATCTGGCTGGATAGCAAAAACTATCCAACCTATCCTGTATCCAGCAGGATAGCAAAAAAGACTCTATTCTCTACACCCCTTCAAAGAACTTAAAGTGGGTAACATTTAGAAGAGGAAATTGCTTCTTAGGTGTTAATACTTAAAACGTGAAATATGGGCAAGCACTCCACCATCGAGTTAAATATCGCAGTAGTTAAAGTGGGGAGTGTTAGGTAAAATATTTGCATCTAAATATGTCAACATGAAACATGGGCAGAGTCTAGCTAGACACTTCCCTGGACAAATAAAATTGTCCGGCATTAGTTAAGATAATATTTAATTTTAACAAAGTGCTGAAAATTAGGCTTATTGTTGTATTATTATTCATGCATTTTTAGGACTTAACTGTCAATAAATCAAGTTGCCATATAACACATCAAATTGACATTTTTATCTAAACCGACCCACTTATCTGTATATATATATGAATAAACATTTGAAACTTATGAAAGTAGCAGTTGATATTATTAAAGTCAATAAATTCTCTCAAGCCATGTTTAGCTGGGACGTGCTTAAGTGGGCACATGATATCAGGATTGAGTAGAAATGTAGAATGATGCCAATTATAAAGCTATATTATTCT